TTATTTTTTCTTGCTGGATTTGTCTTTGTAGCTCTTCACCAATGCCACTTTGAAGACGAATTCGGCGCTCAGTTTCTTTCCAAGCAGTAAATGACTCACGATGACTGTCACTATTTTCATGGGCATTTAACTCATCAATTTTTTCCACTTAGAGAATCCACCCTGTGTTTTGAAAGCAGACCGACTATTGGATGTCATACATGTAGATGAAAAAAGAAGACAACAAAAGCAATATGCTGCTTTATGTAGAGGTGAATACACCAACCACGAACAATTGACCTCTTGTCTATTCAGAAGGCATCGTTTGAACCAAAAGGCAGTCATTGAACGCCCATCTTTGGCATCAGATTGACCTTCTTTATGTTGAAATTCATGTGCTCCAACTTTACCAATCTCTGTGTGATGTGCATATGTTACAACTGCTGAGCCTGTTTTATCAAACTTCATAAATCCAATATCCCTGTGTGTTAAAATATTTATTAGGTCATCCTCTTTTAGCTTAGAAACACTATTATGTGGATTTGTTTCTGACAAAATGGAATCCTCTTGTTTATTATTATTGTAGCTTTCAACAGGACAGAGAACAGTTTCTTCATTGTTTTTGTTTTTTAATGAAATAGCATGTTCACAATCTTGCACTTTGACCTCTTTGCTGCCATCAAAAGGAACAGATGCTTACTGGTGTCATCACTTCCAGCAAGAAAAGCTCTCATCAATTTGCTTGACTCCACCATCGAAGCTGCAAATTGTGCACGTCTTTTGCGTCCTTGTGCCCCACTTTCTTTTTTCGACATAATGGGCTAAAAGAATAAATTAATAAATACTGACTACACTATTTAGTTGTAACATGCAAATTGTCAGATGAAAGGAAGCATTCTACTTTCCTAAGTTCCTAACCACAAATTATATTTAAATTATACAATTATAGTTGCAACTCAGGACTAGTTAGGCACATCTGGACCTGGTTTCATTTTAACTGCCATTATTTAGACCACCCATACTCATGTTCATTAATGTGACACAACAGTAAGAAAATCAATGCAAATGAGTGTATATGCTGGTAAAAATGCTTATGAGCACCAAATAGATTACTGTCAGTTGCTAAATCACATTTAAAAACTCGATATGTTTAACAACACAAACACTACAGGAGGCAAGTCTGAAATTGCTCGAATGAAAATTACACACACTGTGGAGAAGGGTGTAATCATAACATAAGCCTAGAGGCTCAAAGGTTATATTTAATATTAAAGGTTTTGATAGAATGAGAAAACATAAATATAGGCTAACTAATTAGTGGTGTTAGATTACAGTTCCTAGATTAAGTCGCTAGTACATCTAGATCTAACATTAATGTTAAACCTGTTATTTCCATC